TAGTTTTGCATACAAGCTTTCAATTGCACATGAAAGCTTTGTCTACTCGAATAAGCCCTCAAAAAACTATTTCAAAAATAGAGTTGGTCGGTGGAACCCGTTGTCAGGGCAGAATTCTGAAGAATATCGCGACAGGGTACCCCACTTCCCTATTGTTCCTTGATTGTTTAATTGCTGAAGACCTTCAAAAAATGTTGTTTTGAAAGCAAAGTACGGTAACGTTTGACGCCTCAGTTTGCACTCCGAAAGTTGTTACAGTAACGCTGAGTTATGAACAAAAGTGAGACCCCGGAACTCGAACCCGGGCGAGTCCACTATCCATTACCCAGGGCCAAAGCCGCTCTAACCTTCACAGTTCAGTGGCTATTGTAGTAATTACGATTAATTTTTTGATCTAGGTTCGGATTACGTGAAACAGAGATTCCCCTCTTCTATTCGGAGTCCCCAGTCCGTTGTCGAATTTGCTGTCTCTTGGAGGGGGTGTTTCTCTGTTTTAGTCTATGCCGCTAGTGGGTGGACTGTTTTGATCAGGTCGTGGGAGTACTAGTTTATTTTCATATCGCAGTTTAAAGTTTAAGTAAAGAAACCATCTGCTCCCAATGTACACATACAAGGATGAACAGGCACGTGCTGTTTGCATTCACTCCTTGTTCTGATCGTCATAACCTTTCAAATTTTCAATATAAATTCGTTATTTCCGTGTATTATTCGTGAGTCATGGTCCACAACGATAGCCTTGGTTTTCAGAGCGTTATGAGTGAATCATTACTGCCGGATGGTATATCCGACGCCATCAATGCCACTGTCGTCTTTCCTTCAGGTAAATTTTTGATTTACATTTTTCATATTTTTTACAACCTTTCCTTTTCTTTACGGTGCTTTTTTCAAATTTCCATTTCAAATTTTCCTTTTTAATGATTATTAAATAACTTCAAATTTCTTTTTCATCGGTCTCGCAGCACTACTATGGACATTAAGATTGTGTTCAAAGAATGAATGTAGTGAGGAACCCTCGCACCACTTTGGATTCTTTTTCTTCTTTCTCTAAAGGCACACTCCGCGTTCATTCAATGTTCGAACACCTTTTCTGAAGAAGATGGTCCTTTCTGGATGCACCGAGGTGGTTACTACTTACGCAGCTCAAAAATAGCGCGACGAAGCTACCACTCAGAAAATCGGGGCAGCTTCAGCGCCCCAGATAGTTGGTCAAAACGGGCGGGGTCAAAATGGGCGGAGATCTCATGCCTTGATGCTGCCCTACCTATCTCAACCTGTCTTGCAAAGGCAATCTAAAGGTAGCATCAAGGCATGAGATTGCCGCCCATTTTGACCAACGACTTTAGGTGTTAGCTGTTCCACTGTTCCGAGCTGCCCGCCCACTGGCCACGGCAACGCCCAATTTTCATTCTGTAGGCTTTCTGATGGTACAGTTGCTGCACTACTAACTCTCTCCATTTCGAATTGGGATAATGAGGCGATAAAGGGGAAGAGCTGACGCCAACAAGTGAGAGCTGGTCCCACTACGACCGGTCCCCTTTGCAAGTGCGTTCAACATGGCGTTCTATACAGGGCATTGCGGGCGGGCTTTTTTCTTCTTTACTGCACTTTTGTTTTATTTGCCATCTTTCCATGAGTATTGGTGCCATACAACTCGCCGATTTTCAACGCGGGGTCTGCATTTGAACCCTAAAATAATCATAAAACAGTGGATTCTCCGATTTCAATCAATTCCGATTTCCAAGAATTTGGAAATATTTCACATTCTACATATATATTGCGGTCATGCCTATAACGCATGCTTCTAGGAACTGTCGAAACAAGGCCGACCCAGTTGTGGGAAGTGATCGTGGTGATTTCATGCCCTGTACTTTTTGTGCTGTTCCTCTGCTGCTGTGTCGTTTGTATGATCATCAAGAATTATGACCGACGTAAGTTTTCTTCGAAATTTTCAGCTTTTTGGGAG